GTGTGTGTGTGTGTGTGTGTGTGTGTGTGTGTGTGGGAGAGACCCATCGGAACCGAGGTCCAGGAGAAACTGGGAGAAAATGATCGATCCCAGTCCAGGACGCGCTCGGAGAGATGAGCGAGAAGACGCGGACCGTCGGTTTTTACGCGCTCGATCCTCTTCCTTTTATTAAAGGAGAGATTCCGATAGTTTGTGTGTCCGTGTGTGTGTGTGTGTGTGTGGCTACTTTTCTTTTAATGCAAAAGAAGACAAGGAAAGGAGAGAGAGAAGGGGGTGGTTGTGTTGGGGGGGAAAAGTCACCCGCTGGAATGTATGGGATGGTCTGACGGCTCGGTCCGGGGGTAATTATTTTTCACTTATTTTTTCGTCCTGATTTTATTGAGGAGCGCAGCGCGCCGCGAGCGCCCCGAACTCACCGGGACCCCGTCCGCCCGGGGTCCGGCTAGGTTTTTACGAGGTGTCTTGGAGGTGGGTCACGGGGGTCCGGAGGAAAGAGCTCATAAACAGGTAGCTGAGGAAGAGGGAGGGTGGAGGAGGGGGGGTGGACGAGGTGAGACGCTTCGCTGCGCCAGGGCCACTCGGGAACGAACAGCTCCCGTGTTTTTCAGAAAGAAGGGGCGCTTCACACACCAACAAATATATAGTTTTTATATATATTTATTTAAGGGACAACACAAGAGGAAACAAACAAACAAACAAACATATAGCTGCCCCCGCTTCGCCGCGCTGTCTGTGGGAGTGGAAAGCATGGCTGCCCATTCCTCCTCCAAAACAACCTCAACATGCTCCATTCTTTTTTATGAATGCCCCACTCTGCTTCTTGTTTTATTTACTGCAAACATATAGAATATAAGCCCGGCTGCTTTTATTTAAAAGGCTGCTGGAATCAGTTGTGACCTTTAGCTACTTTTGACTCACCTCACATTTTCCACCTCTTCCAGGTAAAGTTGAAATACACGGAAAGGTGATAGAGGTGGACTACTCTGTTCCCAAAAAACTAAGGTAGGCCCCCACACTCTGTAACACACACACACACTCTATCACACACACACATTTATTGTATCCGTGCGCCTCTATAATGTGTGCTGTGCCCCATGGCGGACTGTGTGACCTGTAGGCTTCCGCTGTGAAATATAGTAAGCTGATTTCTTTTTTTGTGTGTGTTGTTGTTGTTGTTTTCTGGTGGTGCTGCGCGCAGTCAGCTTCTTCCTGTTGTTGTTTTGTTGCTTGATAATGGAAGCTGTAATTGGTGTGGTGGATAAATAAAAAAGACAAAACTACGAAAAAAAAAAAAAAACAAAAAAAAAAAAAAAACATCCGCAGAAAACGCCACAGTGGCTGCTGCCATGTTGCGTGATCTCTGCAGAGAGGCCACACACACACACGCGCACACGCACACACACACTGTCATTCAA